TTGTAGTGTTTCTTTTCTAATGTAGCTAAGTGCAAGTATATTCAAATCTGCCTGCATTTATCCATTTAAGTTCCACTTATATTTGTTGTAAAATTTGCATTATCAGACAAAGCATCTTGAGGCCATGGATGAATGATGGGGAACAAAATGATGATGGCCCCAGAGGCAGAACCACACTCACTTAATGGCATTCACATAATGAATGTGAATTAACCACATTCACTTAATGCTTATTTGAGGCGTCTAATGTCTTAGAATGCTTCATAGGGACCCTGTTCTAAGAATTCGGAGAACAGTTTAACAGAGAGCTTTTGGGGGCCTCTGCTACTGGTCTGGGTGGTCAACTTGCTGGTGACGGTGCCCAGCTAACAGTCCACCAGCAACTGCACGCTGGGAAAGGATCTCATCAGCTGCCTGCAGGAGACCCAGCAGCAGGAATCACTTGAGTTTCTGAAACTGTCCTTGCCAATCACTCACCATCCAGTGAATGGCCTGCTGGCTGACACCAGGAACTTGAGTCACTTGCCTTACATTTGCCACTGACTTCTCAAAGCACAGTTTTTATTTGGGGATTGTCCCATCTCCTTGAAAGGTCTTTTTTTTAACAAGTTGGGATTTACCTTCTGAGTACTCAGATTTATTTAACTCCCTCAGGGTAATGTTGGGCTCTTCCAAATACTTCATGGTTCCTTCATGACACAAGGTATCCCTAAACCAGCTCCATTCCCTCTGAAACTTACTGAAGTACGAGGTAAACACAGAGAAGTTGGAGGGCAAGGGTTTTAGCTAAAATTTAACAGCCATTCACAAGCCTTCTATTCTTTTTCATAATCCTGATTCAAATGGCCCTTGAAATGTGGAGCTAAATCATGGGTTAAAAATATCACGTGACCCTCACAGTCTGATTTAAAAGTGCTAAGCCCTTATAAAGCATTTGTTCCTCTTGTTTTGTTATTTCTGGCACAAACCTCTCTCTACTTCTTTTAGGGGAGCAGTTTTTCATATGTTTGCAAAAACTTTGGCTAATTTTCATTTGTAAGCTCACCATATCAATTCCAAGCATCTATCTGGACTTGCTGATTGTCTGTCAAAATGACAATCGACAGTACTTTTCCATAAAGACAAAACTATCTTTGTTCAAGGGAGACAAAGGTAAACTTCCAAATGATGGCATTTATACAGTCACATATTTGCTATAACACACTTCTGTTACCTCTAAATACAGTAGCTAGCTACAGTGCAAAGCTTCACAGTACAAAAAGAGAAAAATAAGGCAGTTTTTCACATGTAGAGGTACAACATTCAGTTTCCAATTAAGAAGAGATTTTTGTTTGTTTGCTTGCTTTTAGGATTAAAAACAATGAACTGTGTTTTAAAATGTTTATATCATTAGTCAATTGCTGCATATATGTAGTAAAAAATCTAACATACCTTGTATATCAAGAATGCAGCTGTGAGAATTGGGCATGTGATCTTCACTTAAAAACAACTATTGCCATGGACTCAGAGGACATGAAAATGGCAATATCCATCAGTCATCCCCATCAAAATCATAAAATCTTTCCTATCCTTCTTGCAAATCTTAAAACAGCAGCACAGCAGGACTATAATCAACCATAACAGTCATATTTACAATATGCAATTTAACTATAATGATACACATAAGAATTCCTTTACCTCAAAGTTGTTTCCCTGAGACATTTGTGTCTTCCTATCAACATGAAAAACAACATTCAAGGGTAAGCATACTATTAGCAGCACATTTCAATTAAAAAAACAATCTATCCAAAATAATGACAATTTCCACCAAAGGATAATTAATACAGTCTGAAATATGTCATATAGGTATATATAAAATACACTTATTATCACATTTAGTTGCTGAACATGAAGAATTTCACCCAAGAAGTCAAGGTCAATATACAGAAGCATCAAGCCTCCTTGCTTAGGAGCCCTTCATAGCTGCTTCATCTCCAAGCTGCTGAGAAGCTGTTTAAGCCCAGATTCCTTTGCACTACTTCTCCTGTTGATTTCAGTGCTCATTAATACCACCATAAAAAATGTAAAAGGCAAACAATAAAAGTCACTTAAAAAGAAGTTTTTCCTGCCTTCAGGCAGAAGCAGAAGCCATCTCTAAAGGAGCCCAGCATATTTACTGTGCATGGCTCCTTACCATTCCAAAAAAAGAGAGAATAGCAACAAACATATTTTGCAATTCAGCAAATCAAAAAGAAGAATGTGGGTTTTATGCATATTGATACTGATAAAATTGCCTAACCAATATTATTGACTTTAGACATCTTAAATATGAGTGGTGATTAATTGATGATATTGCTGGAGTTGTATATAATTAACCAGTTCTATATTTGGTTTTGAAAATCAAAATTCATAGTATTTAATGAGTCATAGATGGTATCTATAGGAAAACCTTAACTCCTACTCAGTTATATCATTTGAGTAAATTTTGTAAGTGTTTGTTAATTATGTTCTGCTTTAGAATGTCAAAACAGACTCTCTGCACACTGCCCAATGCCACACCAACGCTCATATTAAACTCAAGCAGCATTTCTCTAGGTTTCTGAAATTCATCCACAAGCAGTAAGCCCAAATGTCCATGTTACTGTTCCCTGAAAATCACCATTTAAAGATTACACATCTGGAAGAAGATAAAGTTAACAAACAGCAAGCAAATATCCTTGCTGTAATCACTTCCCTGAGAATAAAATATTTTGCTTTTAAAAAGTAACTTAAGGTTTCAAGCACACATATTCAGATAGAGCTGGTAGATCAAAACATAATTTTCTGAAGCATTTGTGCATCAAAAAGCGATCTGAAAAGATTCCTATTCTATCCCATACAAATATTTGGTCACTAGGAATTAGATGAATTCAATGAATTCAGAGCGATTTCACTATATAAACAAATGATTAAAAATTACACAAGAGAAAGAAGAAAATTTTACAAGCAATCAAGGAAAGATAATGAGGCCTATTAAGCTCAAGGAACAAATTCTTTGCACTAGAAGACAGTTCAGAGAATCAAAGCAAAATGATCATTCTTACTTTATTATGAGGGGAGCTACTCTTTGCCTGAAAGTTAGAAAGTGAGGGCTTTGGAAAACTTAACTTCACTGTTGGGATGTGACTCCTTGTATAAAACGGTGCCCTTGCCAGTGCCCAACTTTCTCCTAGAGACTTGGTCATGCACTGGGAAGACGTAAATTCAGCGATTAGGGTAGTTTAAGGGAGAATTCAAATAGAGCACTTTCGTTATTTTAGCAAAACAGAGTTGATGGGCCTGAAGCTGCTGTTGAAAAGGACATTTATTTGCTTATTTTTGTTAAATCTAACTGGCTTCTAACATAATAAATACCATTCCTATGACCTAAGAGAGAAACATTTTGCTCCCTTTCTGTTCAATAGGGTCAACTGTATGTATTTAAAAACACCTTCAAATAAATCATCTCTCACCAAGGTATGACTTCAGCATACTGTTCTTTTCTAAACTCTGTTCACTATATATTTTTCTTTTTTTTTTTTGACCGGTAAGGGGATCACAACCCTCGGCATGGTGTGGTCCACACCACGCTCAGCCAGTGAGCGCACTGGCCATCCCTATATAGGATCTGAACCCGCGGCCTTGGCGCTACCAGCACTGCACTCGCCTGAGTGAGCCACGGGGCCGGCCCCAGTATATATTTCCATTTGAGAAAGCACTTGATTGTTCATACTTTCACCCCATAGCTCAGTTTATTTCTAGGTATGGGCTTCTATCACAATAAGAATGTATGCCCCTCTAGGCCTGTGCTTCCTACGTCAGGAGGAAATATGCCCCTTCCATACATTAAAAGATATAAAGAATGAAACAGATTCAAATTAAGTTAGAATAGAAATAAAACTTTGCCTGGGTAAATCAACAATATCATAGCATTTTGATTGTGCATGTGAATTTCACATATGCATAGAATTGGTTTGAAAGCCGAAACTGAAAATTTTCATTACCGTGTTTGTGTCTACTATTTTAAATTACAGTGTATTTGTAATTATTACTTTGGCTTTGAGACAAAAAAAGATTCATTGGCATGATTAAAGGGAATGTGAATATCATTTAAGTATTAAACATACTAATTTTTAAAATAGTATAGATTCCCATTAAGTGATTTTTCATACTGTACAGAAAGGTTATTGTGTTTCGACTACTGTAAATATATTGAACTAAATGCTATTAAATCATGCTAAAAAATACATCAATGTAAATAAAGATAACAGAACTCAGTGAGAAGTAAATAAAAAGCATAATTTCAGCTTCCAGATTACTAATTATATAGAATAAATTGTTCTTTAAGTAGTTAGAAGTGAACTCTGATTTGGCAATGAGGGCATTTCTTGACATTACACCAAAGTTATAAGAAACTAGTTGGAGAGAGGGAGTTTTTAGCCCAATGAGAATCTAGAAAATTTTTTTCATAAATTCTCCCTAAATAGGGATAAGACACTATTTGGCATTCTTATTTCCCTTTCTTTGGGCAGTCTGAATGAGTAAATAAGGAATTCATGTTTTACTATATAACTTATTTTCATTTCAAATTCCCAAACAGTAAAAATTTCTAAACAATGTAGGTAATTTTAGTAAAAAGTGACTTAGAATAAGGAATATTGCATCTCTTTCATAGATTCTATGAACTCTTCAAAGTGCTCTAAAAACACTATAAGTTTGATTAGCAGCAAAGCATTAGCCTAATAAGAACCTCCCTCCCTCCCCCCATATATATGTACATGTACACATAGTATAAATCAATGTATTCTGTTAGTCTAACTTAAATCTGACAATTTGACAGCTATTCCCAGAGCCTGTGCAAGGTTACAAATACTGTCTACACTGTATCACAGTTCAACACCACTAGCACCTGAATGGTTAAGAAAGAACCAATCCTAATTCTTTCAACAAAAAAATAATAATAATAATAATAAACTTTAAAAAAAGAAAAGTAATCAATCAGATATTTTGAATTTCTTTACAACAAAAAAATGGGAGAATACAGTGCATCACCCAATATATTATTCTGGGTCCTGTAAATTTTTTCTTTATCTAAAATTACTTTTTTATACATAGAAGATTAGATACCTTTAAACATACTTTTAGCAATTCTGAGTATAAAATGTTCCTTTGAAAAATATAACAATTTTTTATATGTTGTTTTTTTAAACTTGCAGGAAAGTTCTGTGAGAGTGGTTTTTCCTTCTCCCACAGATGAATTTTGTAGCATTTTCTCCCAGGAGCAAACTGAGAGCCCTGTCAGCCTGTATATAATGCATCCTGGCAGTGGAGCCCCGAAGCACTGCAGCTGTCATATACTCCAGCACAGGACCTCCAGAAAGAGGTCCTGCAGGTCCCATGGCATCTTGGTCTTTTCTCTTTCACACCCTTGTAGTAGCACCCAAACCTTGGGCATCTTGCAGCAGTGGCTGAAGTCCAGAACTTGAACTTCACCCGGAAAACCACGTCCATTTAAAGTGCAGCACTTTCATCTTCTGGTTGGGTGATTCTTGGTCCCCCACGGATAGGAATGATACCTAGAAGATTCAAAAGTAGAAAGAGTTCTCTACAGTCACAAATATAGTTCACACATTCAATTTCAAAAGCTGTGGCTCAGGCATATAAGTAATTAAATCACAATGAATAAAAAGATGATTCTTTTTATTAGGATGGAGACATTTTTAGAGAGCTGTCTTTTGCTGAAGTTTAATACTAACAGGTCTTTCTCAAATTATGAACTCAATAGGAATTGATAACACTTTATAGTGGAAAAATAAACAACCATTTAAAGTAGCTTGTACATTTGAATGCCTATGTACATTAAAATAACTACTTTACATGTCCATTAGTCAATTAGGGAAATAAAGCAATGCAAGTCGATTCAATTTAGATTTATTTTTATCTTGTATATTGCCATTTCTTAACTTATAATTTATTATCAAAAAGTAAAATATTAATGTATACTCATAAAAATGATATGCTCACTGTCTATTCATTCACAGAACTCAGTCTTACTTTCACAAACAACAATGATAAAATTAAAGCATGTTAGGCTATATCCTTCTGATAAAAAAGCTAAATGTGTATGTATATAAAATATAATTTATCATACAACCCTGAAAATGATCAAGAATAGAGCCCACTTTTGCAACAGTTATGAGGCTGGGCAAGCCTAGTTGACCTTCTTTCATTTTCTTTACACTGCTTTCTTCCTCTCAGCTCAGTCCTAGTTCCCCTTCCCAGAAGCCTAGGAATGAGAAATCCCTTATTTTGGCCAGAGGTCCTTGCTGCTATTTCTGTTTCTGTCACCATTTTCTTTTCCTAATGCAGCATTTTGTTCCTGAGACACTCTTCCTAACCAATTGTCCAAGAAGTTTACCCATTATGTAAACAGTTCCAGAAAACTTCCCCAAAGATAGCTAATAGATAATGGCTTTATCCTGAGACTTTCGGTTTGAAAATGGCACCTCTCTATTCTCTTTCCTAACTAAATATAAATCCTACAGTCTAAGCCGAAACTGTACTGTCTCGTGACTTAATGCTTTAGTGGCTGGCTGAATGATGTGTGTATTAAGTTTGAATAGACAGTCTTAAGTTGTAAACTCGAATAACACAGGAATTAGGTATGTAATTCTCTTTGCATGGTGCTTAATCAAGATCATTTCATCATATTTCATCATGATGATGACTATGACAATGAGAACAGCGGCAGATCTGGGTAGAGCCTGGTGGAGGAGTGTTAACATTGTTTCCCATTTCCAATCTTATAGCTAGGGCGGCTTCTCTCAACTTGTGTTTCATGTGAACCATGAGGAAAACAGTGGGGTAAACAAGCAAGGTCAACAGATTTCCTTCCTATGGTATGTCTCAGATACTTTACTGTAGTAATGGGTGTCGTTATTCTCCAGTAACGAAAAATTGTACATTCAGAGTGTCCCAAATATATTTGGTCATGAAATCTTATTTGTCAGGGAACATCTATTAACATCTTTGATAATATTTGCCATTCTATGAACCTATTTGGGAAAAATACACTCTACTGATCCTGCATACTGATGCTAACTACCTCTACATATCCTGTGATATTTTGCATCCTCATCCTTTGTGGAAAAATTGTGACAGTACCAGCTGATCTGTTTGTATTTGGAGTTATGTGTACTTCCACCTTGTGTAGTATTAGGAGCTTCTGAATGAAGCCTGACTTATTTCTTGGGAATTAATTTGGAAAATTTGTAAACAAGTAGTGGCTTTAGGCACAACCAAGGATTAATTTTACTAGTAAACTGTGAAGAGTCTTTCTCCCAAGATATGTTCCATCATTATTAGAAGCTGAAAAGGAAATACTGTGGATATATGAATTGATATATCAATTTTTAAACACGATTCATTTTAATTTGGAGCATTTTTTTGAAAAATTGATGTCATATCCAACTTATGTTGCTTGAACTTAACTATTCAAACCATGCCTTCATATTTTACTCACAATTCTGAATATATCTATGAATAAATTTTTGCCTTTGTTATTAGGCATCTTATCATATGTCTATCATAATTACAATTTTTCCATTGTCTCCTAAAAAAGGAATATGTCTTTGGAACAAGAGTTTAAAAAGCTTAATGATAGTTCAACTGAAAAAGAACAACCATAAATTCCAAAATAAGACAAATATTTTTTAAAAACAAGAAAAAGAAGAGCTCTTGTAAGAGCTTCCCTAAGCTCCTTACATGCCTAGTTTTTCATTGATATTTTATTGATTTTCCATAAAAATATGAAGATACTGATTGTCCATGATCCTGAGTCTCTGAGGAAATGCAGATAAAATGACAAGAGTGAACGTTGCCCCAGTACAAGCCAAGGGTACTTGAAATAATAAGATATTGAGAGTCAAGAACAGAGACATTCATGCTATACTCAGCCCTCAAGGAGAAAATGAAAATTCAAAAATGTCTCCAGGGATGGTGGGAGGAGAGTGGTTGTGGAGATGGTAATTTCTATTAATGATGTATCTTTGGAAAATAAGGATTACTCATCACTTCTCCGCAGTTACAAATCACAACAGAAATAAATGTACAAAGGTAATATTTTGGAACTATATTATGAAGACAAAAGAGCAAGTAGTTGAATAATTTTATGTGTGATTCATAAGAAAAACTTGTTGAAATAGGATAAGAAGGAAAAAAAATTGAAGACTGAACTAAACAAAAAAAGGAATCTAGTTTCCATACAATGATCTTAACAGGATGTTCTTGAGCCTTCTTTCTCCCACCATGGCTACTAGTTATCTTTGGGGAAGACTTCTGGAATAATTTAAATAGTGATCACAAAACAACTTCAGTAGCTGGAAAGGAAAGCAGTTCCTCCAGGCATAAAAGGCCACTTTGAAAGAATATAATCCAAAGGATTATGCATCCTGAAACAACCTTGAGCCATACAGAATGTGGATGTGGATGTTTGGAACCAATCTGATCATTCAGCTATGAGTGGGCTCCTTGGAAAAGTCAAGAAACAACTCACGTAGCAGACACCGTCCATGCCCATATCCCATTACCCATATCACCCACTTCAAAGCATGCTGGCCAGATTTTCAACTGCCAGTATCTGCATTTCTTCTTCTGAGGATTTCTCTGGCCTCTAAAGTCTTCTTTGCTCACTTTTACAAAAGGCCATAAACACCAGGGAATTAACCCTTCCCAGGGAAAGGCCTCAAGCAATGACTGACGGAAATTGGAGGATAAATACCCCAGTTTCCTCACTCTTCGAGTGGGGTAACACTGAGGTAAATGTTCTACGCTGGCTCTCAGATTTCTCCAGTGGGATCAAGCTGCAGTCACCCACAACGGTAACTTGCTTGATAATGAAAGCTTTTTGAATAACTTCTTCATTCTCCTACCAGTGTTGCCTGGAATCATCTCTCAAATAAACTAATTACACTCAAATTTTTGTGCTAATACTGTCTACAAGTACTGGATGAAATTGATGAAAAAGAATATATTTTTAATAGATACAAAATTACAGGTAGATAGAAAAATTAAGTTCTATTGGCATACAGTTGACCCAGGAATCTATAATTAACGCTTTACTGCATGTTATCAAATGACTAGAGAGGAGATGAAATGTGTGTATCAAAAAGTAATGATTAATTTATGCAATGACGAATATGCTAATTATCACACATTGTATACATGTATTGAAATATAACTCTGTACTCCATAAATATGTACAATCAATGTTTCAATAAAAAAATTAGTTTTAAAAAAGCACTAATAATGGTCATATTAGAAGATAACATATGGCTCCAGGAAACTGAGATTTCTTATTTAGGGTAAGTGAATGGCAGCACATAACAGGAAAGTCCCTTCTCCACAGACATATCTTAAATTCACTTGAAATGATTCTTCATTTAGTTGCACTTTTTTCCCTAGCATTCTATCTAAATAATGGATAGATTTCAGTGATGGAAATCTGAGTTCCCAGATCGTCTAGAATGGAAAAAATAAATATTTAATTTTAAAAAAACAATCTCGAAATGCTTTGCCACTTAATTATGTTTGTTATTTTTTATGGGAGTAAATTACTACTAAGCAATCACCATTTTTGTTTCAACAGAGAATACAGCAGCTGCATCCACACAAATGGCAGGCAACAAATATTCTACCCATGGTTGCATCTAGTATTAAGCAAAGATATTTTATAAAAGTGTTTAATATAAAAGTTGAAAGAAAAAAAATCTCTGTAATCAAGGATAGAGTAATCAGATCTAGCATAAGATGATCTCAATTCATCTTTCACATTAAAGCGAACTCTAGATCATACCTGTTAGATGTGAAATTGTAATAGCCACTTTCCTCTAGAACTTCTTCAATCACAGTCTAAAATTGAGGGGAAAAAAAATCAGGTTAGTATTGAATTAAAAGTGAAAAAAAGTTGTTCAGAGGTACTGCAAAAACCTCACCTGCATCTGTTCATATGTTATTCCCTCCTCCGAATCAAAGCTGGTGGGTAGACCTGAAATAGGTAATTGATTTGACATTTGGTTTACATTTTCTTAGTTAGACTTTACTGGTGATTATGACTTCAACTGGATCATAAGGGTCAATTTCTTAATGATAAAGATGAGACTCACAAGAAAATTCCAAAGTATCTTGACTTTGGATACTCAAACTTTTTGCTTCTTTTTTTTTTAATAACTGGCTGCTTTGGACATGGCCATCACAAAATAATATACAAAGATTTAGAGACATTGCTCTTGTTATATATTGGCCAAATAAGTAAGGGGTGTGTGCATGAATGTGTTAGGGGCAGGCAAGTAGTGGTTCTAAACACAAACTACCTGATGGGTGAGTTTTCTGATTAAGAGACTCTCCCTAACTCATAAGGCAAGAAAATTAACTCTTGTAGGGAGGCAGAAATAGATAGTGACAGACAATGAAGATCTGACTCTTCCATGTGACTGCCTAGAGGAAAATAAAATACATTTAATGCCAGAAGACTTTTTCTGATGGTTGGTCTGAATATGATATACCAGCACCTTAATCTACCCCAATGCCACCCAAAGCAATGTTGACCAGCTTCCACTCAAATCAATCAACACTGACTTATGTGGAGGCCCAGGAGTTACCCTGACACTTTGCACAGAGAAAAGAGAATGGGTTGAAGGTCAAGAGGAGGCATGAAGATGTGAGTACTGGCAGCTCGTTTGTAAAGCCAAGTTTAAAGGTGCTCCCCACAGTGCTCACAGGCTCTGTTGTCTTCACTTTTGCCCAGCCAGCTGTGACACGGGCCAAGCCTGGTCAGCTCTGGGCAGGGGGTGTCCAGCTGCCCTAGGAGGAGTTTAGGAACTCCCTCTCAGACTTTTGAGAGACTTCCAGCAGAGTTCTTCATTTCACCAGAGTTGCCATTATAAGCAGGAATATGGCCTGCAGATGAATTTACCTGTCTTGGGAGAGGCTTTTTTAAAGCAAATGACTTTAGACAACATTTTATCTTGATCTTACAGATTTCTTAGGGACTATTTTAAATAAAATTCTGCCTACACAGGGGTTAATTATCTCAGGAGTCTGAGACTTAGGGAAAGTTTGATAATTAATACATAAAGTGATTTCCTTAGGCTACAATAAAAGAAAGCATTTTTCCAAGCTGAAGAGATGGCAAGTCTTCGTATAACTAAAAGCTTCACTTCTATCCTCTCCACCAAGTGACATAAATATAGTTCATATAGGGATTCAAAAATCATTTAAGGAGGTCAAAATGACAGAATAGACAGTCCCCCCAGCGTCACTCTCTCCCACAAATCAACCAATTTACAACTATAAAAAAGCAATGACAGCCAAGCTGGGGCCACTTGAGCTCAGGGTAAGAGGAGGAGAGACCTACAGAGTGCGTGAAGGCAGGAGTAGCCACAATGAGAGAAAGAAAGAACCACTGTGGCGATCTCAAATCCCAGCTACTTCCAGGCTGGAGCTGCTGAGTGCACGGAGCAGAAGCTGGCAAAAGCCACAGCTGTGCCCTTCAGATGAAGTTGCTTGGAGGCAGCAGGGGAGAAAAGGGCCTTGGTGGCCCCCAGGCCAGCAAGACCATTAATAGGGTTCCCATGGACCCACATAGGAGTGAGGAGCCAGAACAACTGAAATAAAGAGCCAGTCAGAGGCCGGTGAGTCATTGCAAGGGACTGGAGCATGGCCTGTCCCATGGGAAGTGTTTAGAACAGGGTGGTGGGGGAGACGGGCCCACCAGGGGAACACTGGGACATAGCAAGGACAGCCAACCTGCCCCCCAATCAGTGCAGGACCACTCAGAGGAGATTGGTCAGGAATGTAGAACTGCATGGGTGCAGTTTGATGAAAAGACTCAGGCCCAGACTGGATTTTCTACACAACCCAGGTGTACCAGATCTCACGAGAGCTGGAAGTACCTATAAAGTCAACCATGAAAACCTGAGCTGCACAAAAAGCCTTCCCCAGGGAATCGGCAGCAAAGCAGAAATTTAGCTCAACCACAGAGCTCAAGTGCTGGTCACCACAGGAAGTTCCCCCATTTTCAAAGTAAGCAAAGGATGACAAATTAGTTCCAGCACAGAGTTTAAGTGGTGGGAAAAGCAAATAATCCAACACAGGACTGAAAGAAAAAACAAAGTACCCACAACCAGAGACGAAGTTTGATATAAACTAGTAAAGATCTCTTTTCACCAAAGAACACCTACAACACCTTGAAAGACCAGAAGTCCCCTGGGCTACCAAGTCAGAAAGGGGGGAAGGCTGAGGAACTCACTCAACTATGCCCCCAACACCTGCAACCAGTCTCAAGGATGGGAGCCTCGAGCCTTGGCCACACACCCCCAACACGCGCAACTACCCCAGCAACGACCACCCAGCCACCACAGAAAGCACCCCGGGCTTTCCCAAGCTGGGGCAGTGGGGGCTTCAAGCCTCAGCCAAGCCCCCCCACACCCTCAACCAGCCCAAAGAAGACAACCAAGCTGCTGCGGAAAATGCCCCAGGCTCTTCCGAGCCAGGGTGGTGGGGGACTGAGGACCTCAGACACACCCCCCACACACATGTAACCAGCCCAGTGATGACCACTGAGCCACAGCAAGAAGGGCCCCAGGTTCCCAAGCTGGGGTGGTGGGGGGGCGAGGGCTTTTGCCACATGGCCCTGACATCTGCACCCAGCCCGTCAATGACCAAACCACTGCTGGAAGCCCCCTTGTCTCCCCTGTGGGATTGAGGGGGGTGCCACAGGCCTCAATCCCACCCGTCCTTCTTCCTCCTTCCCTCCCATTTCTTTCACCTTTCTCCTCTAACCCTCCCTCCCAACTGCTCCACAACATCATAGAATGTTAAAAAAAAAAACTAAGAAAAAACATTATTTAGAAATTCTGAAACCTCAGAGTAGCTTGAAAACTTCTTAAAGTTCAGATATTCAAGATGAGTTCAGTTATGCTAGGCTCCTACTAATGGCCTGGCACTTTTTATGTTTATTCTGATCCTCATTATAACTCTATTATGCAGGTACTATTTTTATCCCAATTTTACAGGCAAGGAAATTGGGGTTCAGAGAATTTGAATAATTTGTCCAACATCAGCTACTAAATGGTTGAGCCAAGATTTTGATCTAGGCATCCAGGTTTCCAGAACTGTGCCTTTAATCCCCATACTATACTGTCCCCCTAATGTTAAATTTATGCAAAAAAAGAAAAAAAAATTAAATGTGTCTGATGCAGATTCTCAGGTAAATTTCAAGTTTTCTTCATTTTGAATATTTAAGCTTTTCATCTCTGCCTTTTATCTCCCTAAATGTTTTTGGGCATTTGATTTCCGATCATCAGATAAGCAGGAAGAAATAAAAGGAAATACAGTTCACCCACACAAATTCTACTGTTTCTTCATAGTATTAATAAATGATCAAGGAAGCTGTCACAATTGGGTAAGAGAAATCTCAGGGAATTTCTAAGTTTCTATCATACGTCCCTTCCAATTATTGCCATAGATAATCAAAATAAACTCGATTTTTCTTTTAAATTGAAGATAATCTTTTAAGGATAGCTGTTGATCCAAACAATATACTTCTTTGTGAAAGCCAGATAATCCATGTTGATGACCATTACCTGTCTGGTCATTTGGGGACAGGCTGTTTTCACCTGATGAATGTTGTAATAACTGATAATCTGCTGTAAAAAAGTTGGGTTCAATCGGCTCTGGAGATCCCTGAGATAGCTGAAACAGAAAAAGCAAAACGACATCTTAGTTTACACTCAGAAGGAAATGACAGGAGACCTCTGTGTGGGGTTTCCCATTTCCCTGTCTTTGCACACACACACACACACACACATACACACACAATAGTGCTCTGTGGTTCTCAATCCCTTGTAAATAGATAAAGAAATATCTTCTTACTTCCAAAAGAACTTATAAATTGGAAGCAGGCAAATTGCAGTCAAAGCAAGTTAAACAATTTTTTGGTCACATGAAAAAGAAATACACTTTTTAGCTTTATGGGTACAAAATAAAAATTAATAGAAAATAATAATGGCATGGGCCTGGGACATCAAGACTTTATTTTTATCAGACATGGGATAATAAACTCCAATTATTCAACAGAACATTATGTTTGGTGCAAATTATGGTCCTTTTTCATATATCTGCTTTGAACAATGCCTTCTTGTTTGAGCAAGACAAACAAGTTTCTTAATACATTTTTCTAAATTACTACTAATTAATTTTAATCTCCAAACATTAATTCCTAACATTCTAAAGGAAAGAGTAATTCACCAAATGACAGAATTTATTAAACTTCCAATTGTTTAACGCTCTTCTATAAAGCTGAATTTTTAATGGAATTTTTCAACCTCCTTTCCCCTTTAATTCCAACCAGCACTTGGGCTGGCCAAGTTTCCGTGTCTTAGTTAATATAATGTCCTTTAAAATGTCAATTCATGTTAACAAACCAGAAACAAATGGCACAATTTGTACTATGCAATAATAGTTTCCTTGGGTTCACATGTTCATAGCATCTTTAGTCATATTAACTAAAAACTAGAAAAACTCCAAATGTCCACAGACAGGAGAATGGTTAGAGGTGTATCGTGGTGTGCTCATACAATGGAATTCTGCAGAGCAATAAAAAACACCAAAGGTGAAGCGTGACCACCTACACTATGAAGACTCCCCAGGCATGAGTGACTTAGGGATACAAGAAATAAAGTGGAGCGGTTGAAAGTGACTGTGAGGTTTAGACTGAGCAGAAGGAAAACTGTTTCCAGGGATACCGATGTGGACACAGGAAGAGAGGAGAAGGTGGTGAGTCTAATTCTGGACATGCCAGATGGCAAAATGAACGTTCACCAGCAGGTGGAAATGTGGAGGAGACGACAGATCGTCTCCTGCGGCAGGACGACGCTACGCGGTGCTTCAGCAGCCCAGGGCCGGGACTGCCCCGTGCTCCGAGCCTCGTGCACACCCACCTTGCAGGTGCGCCTCGGTTCTCAGCACGCATGCTCCCTTCAGAAGAAAGTATAAGACCCTCCTTCTGAACTGACATGACATTCTTTTAATAAATATCTGCAGTTCTGAACGGCAAATGGTATACACTTTTGAACTAAACAAGTAAGTAAATATATTAAGGAGAACTGACTGTATCTCTGTTATCCTTCCCCCCACGCCCCACCCCCCCCCCAAAAAAAACTCTGAATTTGAGCAAGTACTGCACAATTTGAGTACTTAATTGGCCAATTGAGAATACAGTAGTTTTTAGGCACAACTTAAATAGAAGAAAACCATGAGAAACTATAAATTGATTATTTATTACATTTCCCAAACTACATCTTCTTTTCCATATCATAAAATAGAGCCATCTTTGCTGTAGAGCAACTACACAAATTATTTGGAATCCAATCAACTAAGGTAGGACAGAAGGAAACTGAGCCAAACATAAATGAAATTAGGTGCCAGGAGTGAGAAAGTGTTCGGCACGTTCCATCACACGGCACCCACCAATCCTCTGGTCGTATTTCCTTTAGATGTTCCTTGTCCTTTTTGACTGAACTACACCACTATAAGATATAACATATTGCCTGACTTTTCATCTTTTCTAACCAACAGCTCCTTTCTATTAGCTTTTTATTAGCTTTTGATAGGACACTTCGTTAACAGAAATGCTCAGCATTTATATTCGCTGCTTTCTTACACACACACGCAGTCTAGAGTCAACTCCACTCCAGGGTGTGCACCCCATACTCACCCCCACTTCCACCGAAAGTAACCCTGCTGCTGTGGTGTTTACATTTCTACCAAGGATTGTGTTCCTAACAGAGAAATCCAAAACTAAAAGAAGGCTGGAAAACCACCGTTCTACATTAATTACAAACAGGAGCTCATTCTTCCAGGACACTGAAGGTGATGTCAAGGCCAGGAGTCAATGGTGGCCTGACCCACCTGGGCAGGAGAGCCCTGCAACAGCAACTTTTCTACTTGGTCAAAACAGGTGGGTCCTGGGCACTGCTGATTTGTGGTGCCTCCATAGGGCCCTGAAGAGGGCTAGGCAGACATAAGACATGGCTATTAGAAGTATAAAGAGCCTTTAATTAAAGTCTGAGGAGTAAAGCAACCAGCCTGCCTGGAAAAGAGCCAGAAACCCAGAGTTAGAAATTAAAGAGACTGCCAGGTGTCAAAAAAGGTAAACTTGACCTTACTGATCTGTGTTGAAGTGGAGATTAGGAACTGAAGAGAAGTGCCAGGAAGGTTGATGCCTACAGGAAGCAGTTCTGGGTAATCGAGAGGGCACAGGGAACATGTCACTGGCCTTTGCCTAGTCCTTCTTACTTAAATGTGGTGTATAGAATGGCAGCATAAGTAGCATCTGGGAACAGGGTAGAAGGCAGAGTCTTGAGTCCAGGATGTGAGTGCATCTAGATAAACACTTTGGCCTACTTTTTAATAAAAGACAATCTTCTTTCTAATAAAAAGTCTCAAGTCTATTAGATATACCACAAGTTCACAGTGGGCAGTTACTACACTCTGTAGCCTTGCTACTCAAAGTGCGTCCCTGGATCAGCAGCAGCACCCCTCACCTGGGAGATGGTTGGAAGGGCGCAATCTCCACCCTTCCCCAGACCCACTCAATCAGGATCCACGTGTTAACAAGATCCTCAGGTGATTGATATGCACCATAAAATGTGAGAAATGCTGATCCTGCCAGGCCACTAATTCTCAACCTTTTCTGCACATTGAAATCACCTGGAAGCTTTAAAAAACCTGATACCAGTGATCCAATTCCTGGAGATTAATGGATGTGCTGTGTGGCCAGAGCATCAAGATGTTTAAAATCTCAGGTGATTTCACTGTGCAGCAAACTTTAAGAACGGCTGGGCATGTCCTTATGCTTAAAAAGCCAACTGCTTCCCACCTGGGCCTAGATTCTTTTGTTTGTTTTCATCCTCGGTCCAAATGACATTTATAATTTACAATGCAATGATTCTCAGCCCTGACGATATGCTAGAATCACTTGGGGCCAGGGCTCCAAAACCTCATACTGTGCCTTTGTGAAAATTAGAAAGTCACTCCCTTCCCCCAGAGGATGCAGCCCCCGTGAGTCCCTTCATCCAGGTGCTCTTGGACAGAACCTAACCTGTCCAATCCTAAGTGGCAGCTTTGCCAGGACAGCTGTTTTCAGAATGCTAATGTCCAGGCATTCATCTGAGATGAGGCTGGCATCAATACTAAAAAAGCAAACAAACCAAAAAAAACCCCACAACTCCTCTTATGATAAAAAATTTCAAACATTTACAAAAGTGGAGAGAGCAATACAAACAACACTCCGTGCACCCATCACCCAGCTTAAGCATGGCCAATCCTGCTTCATGTATCTCTTCTCCTCTTCCTTCCCTACCTCTCCTTACTGCCAGGAATTGGAAAGCAAATCCTGTGCAACATATCATGCCATCCACAGTATTTCAGTATGGCTCTATAAAGAAAGATGGATTTCTTTTTTTAAAACAGAGCCACAATACAATTATCCCACCTAAAAGAAAATTAGTGACTCCTTAATTATAACAAATATACAATCGGGGTTTGATTTTTCCTGATTTCTCATACAAATATATTTTAAACTTTTTTGAGGTTTTTTAATTCAGGAAGAAATAAGTCCATGTATTACGAGTAGTTAATATTTTCTCTAAATGCTTAAATCTTTAATCTGTAGGCAATTCCTCTCCTTGCTTCCCCTCCTCACCTCACTCTTCTCCCCCCTTCCTTCCCTTCTCTCCCCTCCTCTCCTACCCTTGCAATTTATTTGTTAAAGAAAACAGGTCAGATTTTTATAGAATTTCCCAGTCTGGGTTTTTGCTGATCTTCCCCATGGTGTCATTTACATGTTTTCTTGTCCCCTGTATTTGCTGTAAGTGGATAGCTAGATGCAGAGCAGGGATTGGCACCCTTTTTCCGTAAAGGGTCAGTAAATATTTTCAGCTTTGTGGGCCATATGGTCTCTGACACAGATACTCAATATTGCCTGTAACCCAAAAGCAGCCATAAACAATATGTAAGTGAATGCATGTGGTTGTCTTCTAATAAAACTTTACTTAGAAAAACAGGCAGGAGGCCAGAATGGCACGAGGCTACAGTTTGCTGATTTCTAATCTAGATTCTTAATCAGATGTAGATTCAAGCTTTTAGCAAGAACACTTTATAGACAGTGCTGTGCACTTCCATCAGGTGGCACATAATGTCAGGTTGTCTCTCTTTTGTGATGTCAGCAGCCATTGATGCTCATGTCTGAACCCATTACTTGATTAGGGACTGCAAAATGGTCATATTCTTTATTCCTCCAGCACTTATCAGCTTAAGTACTTCTGTAATAAGAAACTTGTCCTCATCAACAAATTTAGTTACCCTGAGATAGCAGTCATAAAAGGCAAACTAAATGCTTAATTTTTTTCTTTATAAACAATTTTGAAAATAATAAAAGTTAGTTACTTAGCATCCTCTAAAGGTAAACAATGAGGGATTCTTTCTTTTTTTTTTTTTTTTAGTATCACTATGATAAAGTATCATTTTCTTTAGTATCATTATCTTGGATTTAAACACTATTTAATGCTTTAAATCCATTGTGGTTATTACTCTTATTGATGCTCCAGTTATCCCATAGATAGCCGGTGGGAGCCTCTTCAAGTCGACTCCTAAGTCCCTTTGATACATCCTCAGTAGTCCTTGATAGCATCCCTGCTATGTATCTGTTATGTTGAGATATTCCAATCTAATCTTGTACAGTCCTTATCTAGACCTTCGGTCAACTATATCTCCAAAGAGCCATGGGTAGGGGAGTTCACTGCTGCTTGATTCGTTTCTAGACCATTTTAGTAAAAATATTAGGAAATGTGTATATTTTTAATAGATAAGTTTTACCCTGAATTCATACTCATCCATATTAATACTTCCAATTCTTTTTTTTTTTTAAAGATGACCGGTAAGGGGATCTTAACCCTTGACTTGGTGTCAGCACCACGCTCTCCCAAGTGAGCTAACCGGCCATCCCTATATGGGATCCGAACCCGTGGCCTTGGTGTCATCAGCTCCGCACTCTCCCAAGTGAGCCACGGGCCGGCCCTGATACTTCCAATTCTAATTTGAATTAATCTCTTCTATCTCGTTTCTGTTTCTTTTTTACTTCCCCTCTGAAAGTCCTAGCTCCTGAAGACACCTATGCAATTACTCAGTCGCTTTATTCCCCCTTCAGTTCTAGCCAAGACCAAGCAGACGGGGCTGAAGACCAGTGTAGGTGAGTTTTAATTTCTTGGAAAAGGGCTTTCCCATTTTTTGATTCCTCTATGTATCCTGCTGGATCTTAGGCCATTAATAAGTACGCACAATCATCCCACAATGACTCTTTCAAACTGCAGACATGGGGTCCCTGGATTTCAGGAAAAGTTTCAGAGAGAACTGTTCAGGTCGAGTGCATTTTATGTGCTACCACCACTCACTGCTTCTGCAGCCCTCCTGGGGGGTGACTGTCAGTCAAAGGCCAATTGGCCACTCCTCTATGACTATACAGGAGATGAAAACTCATTTCTGAACAAAAATTATTGCTAGAAAAAGATCACACTAGGAAGGGAGAAAACAGAGGTCACAAGTTCTTCTCATTTAGGTTTAAAAGGGGGCAGGAGAGCTTCTCTCTACGTTCATGTAGAAATGTATGAATATACTATATCAATATCAATTAATAAAGAACAGAACAAACATAAAATATACAAAATATATATTAATATAGAATACATTCTTATTCAATCATCCATTTAGCACCTCCACGTACTAGGATTGTGCAAGACCCTGCGGAATCAAAGATGAATAAGGCACACTCATTGCTTTTGGGGCAAACAGAAATGCAAGGTAGAAGAAAAGCTATCTAAAACCCAACAATAGGATTGAAAAAGTGATTCAAGCGTAGAGAAAGGGACGATTAATTCTGGGCAGGGAAAATTAAGGAAGGTTTTACGGAGGAGCTGGCTTCTCAGTTCAGTGATGAAGAGCAGGTGTTTTGATATCTGCACCTTAAGTCCACATCAGGTGTCCCATAGACCACCATGTGCTTGTAATAACAGAGAAGAGGACCGTGGCATTTTTCACAGGAGAGCTTAATCTGCCTCTTATCCAAGTTGAAAATTAAGATGAGTCTATCCCTCCCTAGGTTCCCTCACCTGTGCTCCCCACACATCCCTCCCACCCCCATCAATGCCTGTTTTTATTTCCCCAGGCCCAGAAGAGCAGAAGGTAAGGGCTCTAAGGAGAGATGCTACCACGATACAGAGGAAGGCAGACAAAGGCAGGATGGGGGAATTTCACAAGAGAATTCCCTTTTCTATCAGGGGAGGAAAGAAAGACAGTGAGGAAGGGATGCAAAAGTGAAAACCTAAGAAATGAAAGAAAATGATTTGCTTGAAGGAAAATCACTTCACTGATTTCATTTCTCTTCACTCCACTGATGTCATTTTCCCTGATGGAAAATCACTAAGTCAGGGAGAGTCACAGCCACCTCTGTGCATCAGTTTGCAGCCAGTGATCTCAGTTCCTAAAACTAGGATTTCTGTTAAAATAAGTTTATGTACAAATGGGATTATTCTGAATATCGTTTTGATAAAAATATGAAAACCAAGCAAAATGTAATCTTTTCATGGGAGATTTAAAAAATATACCTATTGGTATTCATATTACAGTGTGTAAACATCATAAAATAAATATCTGAGGTATCCTCTACTTCCGTTTTGATCTGTTCTAGCTTTGTTCCTTGGCCATATTTGCCAACACAACCCATGAAAGAAACCTTGCTCTCTGATCTCTGATGAGGTAGGGTTGATGTTTTGTTTATCTGCAACTGTGTCTGTTTTTCCTCCATCTCCTCTGCGTGTGTATATGTGCAAACACCCCTGATGTAAGGCAACAAAGCAAAAGCATACTGCTTGCCTTTCTTATCAAAGAGCCTGTCATATTTCCTGAATAGTAAGTAAGTTTATGCTGAAGATTGAATTCATTAAAGGAAAGAGACCTTAAGGAAAAGTTTATTGGCAGCATGACTATGCCAAGGTTTAAGTACATGATGAAACTTTTTAAAAATATGAAATTGGAGTGGGATGAAGCATCTTTACCCAGGTGTGCCCAAACTGCTTGAGCCTGGGGCCTTTCAGGGACAGGAGAATGGAGAGCTTATGGACACTTCCACGGACCATATCAAAGTAGCTACCAACTAGGACAATGGGCTTTCCTGTCACCAAGTTGAGTTAATCAGAGGTAAACAATTTTCTTTCTGCCTGGCTGATTTAGCCTTTTTGTGATTTAGTTTCTATATGTATGAATAGAAATATATGCTGGCACCTGAAGTCTAGGAGATTGCAGAATGTTGAAGATGAAAAGAGCCTTAGAAATAGTTTATTCAACCCTTATAGATAATAAAAATCATGGCCCAGATGATTAAAGAACTTTTTCAGAGTGGCAAGGCTCAGTTGAGGGGCTCATTGAAGATTATTCTAACAAAATATTGGAATATTTGATTACATGAGATGTAAAAAAGAACCTAAAATAGACTCAAATATACACACTTCAAATTAAAGATATGTAATAACATTTATTCTTAGGAAAACACACAATAATATTGAAGGAACTTTTTATTAGTCATCTGAGAATAATGGTCACAGAAATAAAGGTGAGAAAATTAGAGGCAAAGATATATCCCTGATTTAGTATCTTGAGCAGAGATGATAACCTTTAATAGAGGTTAGAGCTTAAAGTACAAAGTAAAGTAGGTATAAAATGTAACCCTAATGATGTGTTTTTGTTAGCAAAAGAATTCCTATATATAGAATACCATACCTTTTTAATTTCAGATTTCAAATTACAAGGGTTACTCTGTTGGCTGAAAAGGGATTTCTTGAATCTCTCTATAACCCTTCTTTTCAAATTGTGGTGCAAAGCCGGAGGAAGCTGCATAAAATGAGAAAATAATCATTATAACCAAATTGTTAACACTGCAAAGCTGACTACCAAGAACATTTACTAAGGGTCAATGTAACAATATTCACTCAACGGGACTAAATAAGAATTTAAATTTTACTGCAAATAGCATGACTATGTGCTATAATTTTTCACCCTATGATCCAGAATGAATAAAATATATTACTCTGCTCTCTTTGAAAGGGCTGCTTCCATTTATCTTATCGTTCTTTGACTTACTGTTATATTTTTCACACTACAACTAAATGATGTATTAATCACACACAGGTATTGAATTTTCTAAAGAACAGCCTTGACAAGGAAGAGTGCATTTCATCAGAGGTTTAGGTGCTTATGGCATGCCCAGAACCATGCTAAACCCCCCAGCCATGACCCTGTTCCTGAAGGATCTGATATTTTGGACCAGGAAACACATATCTGCATTAGTATGCAGTCAGATACCTGCCTGTGAGTGCTCCTGAAAATTCAGCTGGAGAGAGATTGAATTTTAGGGACCCATCTTATCCAGAAAAAAGAGAGAATGGATTAGTATAAATTAGGGCCAAGCCAGGATGAGTTAGATGTAATAAGTGAGTAATAGGAAGTCACTGTAGAATCTTAGAAAATATGGTAATTGGATGAAAATGGGGATTTCCAAAAACTAATTTGTAGCACTTTGAAGGCTGGATCTATACAAGGAAATCAAAGGTCCTGAAAAGCACAGAGGGATGAAGTGAAATTTGGGAAAAGAATAACAGGAAAGAAATAGGGTTCAAATTATAAGGTTCTCGGAGTTGAAATAATATTTGGTTTTGTTTAAATCATGAAGGGAACCTGAAAAGAAAGAAGGAGAAACTGGGAAGAAAGAAGATGGCTAGGTGGGAAGGCAAATGTAATAGTCGGAGCCCTCAAGATGTAAGAAACAAAAACATATTTCAAAACTCAGATCAAAAGAAAGAGGAATGTGGCAGAGAAGATTACGACCCGACCCCTGCTCTATTTCCTAGGCTCCCTGACAGTTTGGGTTGGTGCCATGTGACTACTTTCAGCCAATAAAAATGCAGTGTGTCTCTCCGAGGATGAGGCCATTCAAAGCCAGCATGCTTCCTTCATCTCTGTCCTTCCCCACTGCAAGGAGCTCAGAGTCCATCTATTCCATATGGCATAGCCACAAGATTCAGCAGGGCCACCTGACCAGCCCAACTTTAGCTGAATGAGAAATACACCTCTATGGCGATATGCCAAAGGATTTCAGGGTGTATCTGTTAGTGCAGCATAACCTACCTTATCCTGACCAACACAAGGAACATCTATTCACTCAAGTTCCATGAAAGAGGGAGATATAAAAGGTAATAGTAGAGCAAAGAATAGGGTCTATGAGGGCTCACAACGGCTGACTGTATAACCAAAAAAAAAACCTGCTTATTATCTTAAACACAATAGAATGTAGGACCCATTGTGAAGTACTATAATTACACAAAAGAGAGAAACAATGCAATTGAAAAATGTTTTCAAAATGCATCTTTAATCCTAGCGCTTGAATCAAAGTAGGTTTAACTAGGAAAGAAATAAGACTGTCTGGAGATACTGAATCCCTTCAGTATAATTTGAAGAGTTTTGTAGGTTGGCAGCACTGATATCAGCATTATAGCTTTCTTTTACTTTGATGCAGATGTAATTCCTCTCCCTACCCCCAGAAAATCGTCATAATTATTGTTGTCCCTTTACAAAGAATGAAAGGAAGAAATCAAGAAATGTGGAAGTGGGGAGAGAGGGAGGGAGAAAGGGAGAGAGAGATTTCCCAGTATTAACGAGCCTATATTTGGAAGACAGATGGAAAGGGAAATGAGTATAAATGATATATGTGTGCATGAGAGAATAGCAAAAGAGGAATGAATCTAACTTAGAGTGGAAATAGACAATGTAGGGGAGGGACAGGTGCATACTTCCCTGGCAAAGAGATGGTTTGGAGTGGTGAGGGGACAGGAAGTGCTTGGAGAGACACCTGAGAGACATGGATGTGATAATTCCCTATTGGCATGCACCAGGAGTGGCCGCTTCTCCAAATCAAACACCAGAGGGCAGTGTTGGCCCAGGACTGTCGAGCTGCAGTCCAGCGGAGGGCATGTGGCTGTCAAAGGGAAAGGCAACAAGCCTTGCCTGCCACAACAAAAAGTGTGAAGCACCAGTGGGCTCATAGGTTCCTTCAAAGGGGTCTTAGCCCAGTACTGGCAGCTATCAGCATCAGATTATTAATTCAGGTGTTCTGAAAATGCCTTCTACTTATTTAACTTACTAAGCCTCTAGCTAAGCTAGAATTTCTTTTACTGCTCCTGATGGCCTGAATTACTCAAACACATTTGAGTAAGTTAACATTCAGTCAACATAAGGTTCATACACAGGGCAGCATTAGAAAGGAATTGTATCTCATTGAAATTATCACAGTGGACAGCACCCTATCTTTAAATGTTTCATGCAAAGCTTTAAAATTTTACACAGAATGATGACTCATGCAGTTTTATTGCAGATGATATGAGTATAATAATATATAATATATAAGGACTACAATACTAAGAATAGAACATTAATACCTATGACTCATATGTGCCCGGGCACCGCAATTACTCCTTTATGTGCTTTTTTTCACTTTAGTCCCCACAAACAATTTATAAAGCACGTATTATTTTATAGGAGAGGAAATGAGAGCTTAGAGATATAATGTAACATGTGAGGATACTTTCTGAAGTAGCGAGTCTTCTAGCACAACCATTATCCTGGAGCAAACACCACCACCACTAGCATTACTCTAGTATAGCACTTTATAGTTTATAAACATTTTCACATACATTTCCTTAGAGGTTCACCATAGTCCTATAAGCTGCCCCATTTTACTGATCATGAAACTGATCCTAGGAGAGATAACAACTTCCTCAAAGTCACATATCTAAAAGCTTGTTTATTGTTTTTAACGATACTACACAAAGTAACAAAAGAAAAAAATGGAATCTGATCTCTATGTTTTTTACTAGGTTTTCTCGAACTTGCCTCATATATGGATTTTTTTTCGAAAGAACTGCCTGTATTTTCTAGTATCTTCAAGAACATATCAAGGCCAACCATAGCTCACAGGGTTCCATTTGATGAATAGTATCTTATTCTATTCAAAAAAAGAATTATTTTGGCATACTACAGTGTAAGAGAAGATTTCTCTAAATGCAAAAACAAAATTTTCACAGAAAATCATCAAAAGAAACACACAAAATGTAGCACTTCTCTTACAAACCCTGGAAACATGAGTCAATTTGAGAAACACAGCTTTACCCTAAATATCCTATTCTGTTTAATCTCTGTCACTCTTGCCATTAGTAACCAGGAGATCCAGATGAGCAGGTATGGATGGTTCTGTGTTTTCCTGCTGAGAAGACACAGTGTGCTTCACTGATGACAGCCAGTAGTATACTTTTCACCTGAGGACAGCACATTGCTATTCTCAATGACATTTTTATGTGACTGCCCATCTTCGGGCAATCCAAAGTAGCTCCAACCAAGCTGCCTGCTGTCACTAGGAGACAGATGTTTAATTTTTTTAAGTTGCTACATGCTGATTTTCAATGCACTTATTTAACAAAACAATAAAAACATAAGTATAGAGTTAAGCCCAATGCTTAATTTGGCTGTGTAGGTCTTACCTAAGCAATAAACACATGAAGACTCATAATAAAAGGTACCATATGTACTTTAGTCACCTTATATGCCCAAAGATAGATTGTGGTTTCCAGCCAGCAATGAAGTGAACCACTGATTTCATTCTTAGCTTGCTGGTCTTAAAATCATCATTTTAGTTTTAATGAAAACAGATGTCAAATTAGTGAAGGCAGGGTAAGGATTTTAACATCCTGCCTTGTAAAATAGTTTCTTTTAGATGATTTTCACACGTCTGTCTCTATGGAAACTAGACAGGAAAGGCCACCACCAGCCAAAAGTATGAAGTTTTCCATGTAAGTTCATCTGTTGATTGTCAGGAGGTGTTTGGCTCCACAGTTCAGGGCAGTCACCAGATGTAAGCCTGTGAGTTTGACTAGTACATAAATATGTGAGCAAGAGGGGTTTTTTGGTTTGTTTGTTAGTTTTGCAGATTTGGTCTTACTTTCAGCAGTTTTCCTTTGCAGTTAGCAAAAGGTCTTTAACCTATGGCAAATACACTAGTACAATGTTTAGAGGTGTATTTTTCTCCTTTACTTGAAAAGCATTGACTTTGTTTCACACTGTAAGTTAGAGTTCTCCAGAGGGGAATCATTCCTTACTATCTGCAATGTCACAAACTTGACAGTATTCTGAAAATACATCTTAAAAACCACAATAGTCATATCTGCACTTGTAGCAAGGAATGCCATCTTGCAAAAAAATATATGAAATCATTTCTTATACAGGCAGTTTTAAGAGCATAATAATAAGATATTTATAACCATTTTATTCTTGCTTTAAAATACTTGGATATTCAATAAAGAACTGTAATACACCATTAAAAAGGCTTTTATTACATAAAGATTAGCAAGACAGGCATATGGAAACTATATTTAAATTTCAAAGAATATTTCTCTCAATTTAATAGTTAATAGTTGAGGTAACTAAAAAGCTATTTAAAGCTATTTCTATAACACTGAAGTAAAGAATGTTTTCCCATATTTCTATACCAGTTTTAATGGAAATGCATCTTGGATTTAATATCTTTACTCAGTACCTACATGGCAGATTATATTTTGATTTATTAACCAGGCTTCCCCTTCCATATTTCCTTGAACCCCCCCTTCACCCTTTTTCATTTAATCATTTAGACAATTCTGGGTGATTGCCTAAGAGAAAGGTTGACAGCAGAAAATAGAAAAGTAATTCATTTAAGACTCTTGTGTCTTGAAAAGTCAGCCATCAGGGTGACCGAAAACAACACCAGATTTTGGACAAAAGTTGAAAGACAGAGCCAGGCTACTCAGCCTCAGGATTAATAAAGACTCCCCAGATCACAGGGAGCAGTCAAAGGGAAACCAACGAGAAGTCAGAGGTGGGCAGGTATGAAAGGAGGGAGCTCCTTGCCTAGTCCTCCAGGCTAAATGTGCCAGTTATCAATGCCTCTTGGCTCCAAGTCCACACTTAAATGCCCTGCTTGTGATACCGGAACCTTTCTCCCTTGCCAGCTGGCAGGATGCTAAGCTCCATCAGTGGTGGGTGCTGAAGGGACCCTGGAGGAGGATGGAGCACATTTTTCTGGTTCCAGAGATGCTCCTGTAGTGCACAGTGGTCCTCACATGGGAGATCCCTAGTGGTTAATGCTCACCCCCAGTCAGGTTCAGTGTCATCAGCCCCTCCAGCGGCTTCCCAGAGAGTTCCATGGAGCAACACCTACCCGTGAGAGGACTTTCCTCTCCTAGAGGACTTTCCTCTCCTAGGTCCCATAGATGGTGTTTCCCAGCATACCACGCTCAAGTGCTGATTTCCAGCAAATTCCACACATGGTATCTCACTGTGGATGGCTTGCCTTGGTCTCCCAGAGAGAGGCTTTGCCTCAGGTTTCTCCAGCAGAGCATAATGGCAAATTTCTCTGACCTTTCCGGTGAAATCTGGACCTCAGTCCAGGGGTGAGGGAAGGGGTGGAGGGGAGGGACACGGTGGAGTCCACTTCCTTGTTTGTTCCTTTCTTGGGTGCCCTGCCTCAGCCCCAGAAGTCCGGACTTCTCTATCTGCTCTTTCTGTATCCTTCAGATGTCTCTTCCCTCCTTAATAGACAATACCCTCTCATAGCTAGCAATTCATTATATTGAAACTTCCCTGCTGAAATGACTCTGTTGTTTTTGGCTGGACCTTCACTGATCCAGATACAGGTTTCAGGAATGTCACAGGAGATTCAGATGAGATTTGGGAATTGGTTTGATTGTGCTGTTGGAACTGAGCCCAGTGCTGAGTTTTGTTTTGTTTTGCTTTGTTTTGTTTTTTGCCGATAGGCTCTGGCACACCAGGAATCCATGGCATGCAGGGGCATCACAATTAACCAGGGCATCACCCTGATGAAGTTCCAGCTGAAGCCAGTGCCTTGGAAGCCCAAATGGCTGCTGTTCCTGACTGTCACAGTAATGACGACTACAAGGACTGTGGCATGGAATGGATTCTTCTGAGTGCACTGGAGAACTGGCGGAAAAAAAGTGACAGGCTTAGGTCTTTTAACTCTCAGCTCAAGGCATGGTCTGAGACCCAGAAAGATTCCATGACAGCCCTAAAAGAATCTGTTGCTTTGTGCTGCCACAGCACTGATATGGCTGATAATCAAATGCAAATTTTAACTGCACAGATTGTTAAATTACAGTGTCAGTTGAATTCACACCTCATCAAGTTTCTCATGTGAAAGTTAGAAAAAAGAATAGTTCCTAAAACTTGGAATAGAAACATCTTGCTGGACCCAGATAAAACTGACAGTCTAGAAGCCCAAGTCACACTGAGCCTTCATTGCTAGTGGAAGTAGCTTGTCACCCTATGTCTGAGAAGATTAGCTTTCTTTTACTTGAATACTCTATGATAACCTCATCTGGGACAGAGGTCTTAAAAAGGGATGCTCACTCCTCAAAAGACCCACAACAATGAAGGTCAAATCCATAATAAGGGTATATCTCAGTTGACCCAGGGGAAAAAGGAGCCCAGCTCTGTACCCACTTTTAGCCCCATACTGAAGGGCCATTTGTGTTGAAGTTTGTTTTTGGTTGGGCACTAACAGCGAGAGAACAGGTTAGGAGTCACAGGAGAAATTTGATGTATTCGTTTTTTTACTTTACTACCTTCCCAGCTCGGCTGCTAAACCGAAGAGCACATGTGGTTGGAGAAAATAAGAGCAAGTATTTTCTCTAATTTAAAGTCCCACAAAGTATTTCTTCAGCAATACTAGCCCCAAACTCTCATTTAAGATGAAAAGCTGACCTGTGTGATGTAGATGATTTTGTGCAGTTGAATTAATATCTGCTGAATAGGATCACTGATCTGACGTACTTTCCTCTGGGACACAGCAATTCCTGCAGATGCTGTGGGTGATAAATTCTGCAGTTAGTCAAGTTCTCTTTCAAAATTGATATTAGTGGAAAAGGGAGTAAAATTCTGAAAAATAATTTTTAAAGCAAAGACCCTCACCCTACCAATAAGACAGTATGCAGAAACCTTGTAATACTTCACTATTTTATGATATAGAATAAACAATTCCTTCCATTTATTTTTCAGACATCTAAGTAACATAATGATGTTACCTGTCATAACATCTGGAAGACTGCCTATCTCTTGGATGGCAATCACAGCAGGCTGCCATCAAGAGTCAGCAGTGCCTTGGATAATGTGGCCACTGAAAGGCCTGGCTGCAGATATGTGTAGTTAAGAGGCTGTCATGCTTCTAAATTTTCAATTCATTATGCCCTCAATAACATATTTTTAAACTAATTTTATCAAAACTACTAAGTGCAAACACTAGGCAATCTTAGCAGAAAATAAAAATTAAAGCTAGAGTTAAGTAACTTTCAAATCCTTGATTATTATAAATCATAATTTTCACCTGGATTTCTCTCCAGGTCTAAGCAAGACCCATTTGTAATTTATCCTGAATTCTCATCTCCACACCACCTTCACAGTTTCAGGCTAATTTGGTGTAAAATTATAAATGAGTGGCTTCGCCAGCTTTGCCTGTCACATCTACAAATGGCCCATTCTTAGCCTTGAGCTATTTAAAGGTATGGCCTTAATCCCTAGATTATCCACAAGACCTCCTCTCACCCAGAGATCCACACTGGAGACAATGAAGAGAGACTTCAGATATGTGGACATATACATTCCCTCCCTCCCCTGACCTACAGCATGCTTTCTACAATAATTCTTATCTTAACAATTTTCCTTTATTCAAAGAAAGTCTAAAAGACCCTCTTTTCTTTCCTCCACACAACATTGAGCCTCTATAAAATTAAATTTGAATATAATCATTACTTTAGCAACAGCTAAGGTTTTTGGAAAATGATTCTTATATAAGGGCTTTCTGAGAAAGCTTGCATATTTTACCATGAACAGTTGATTTTCAAAACATTTAAAAAGAAAACATAACGTGGTTGTTTAAAAGAGTCAACTTGTTTTATTATGAGCATATGAAAATTGATATTTAAGACACAAAACACAAAAAAGAAAATAAAATATGAACATTTAAAAAAATATTTTCCTTATAGATATTTTTACTGAGTTAGTTGAGAAATTAGCACAAGAAATAACCTACTTCTAGTTCATCTGCAGTTAATATCTTGTTTAAATGTCTGGAATTTAAAGGATCTATTTCCCCTAACTCCTTTGAAGTGTCAATTATTTGATCATTAAGATGAGGTTTAATAAATTACCCTTAGGGTAAAAATGTGAAGATAAATCAGAAAGAATTAATGTAGCTCAAAAATAGAAAACAGAAGAGTTGTCTGCCCCAGCTTGTAAAGATAGCTAAGTGTGCTAGGCCATATTTTCTGCAGTGGTGATGCTTGCAGAAATAATTCTTAAAATGTAACTATTTGTTTGTCTAGACCCATATCAAAAACTGGAGAATACGTAATATGGCCAAGTTGATGTTCTACAGAAACATTAACATTTTCTGAAAATGGAGGGCTAGCTTTCTGATCATTTTTATACTGACTTCTTTATGTTTTTGATTTGTAGACATAATACTCATAGGTAATGAGTTAAAATCTCACAGCATGGCAGAGAGTTCTTAGTTTGTGATGACATTCTGAGTGCGATATCACACAGGTTTAACTCTACCTTGCCACAAGAATGTGCTCATCTGTGGCCCTAAATACAAAAACAGAGAAAGTTAGCTAGAATGTCTGCCTTCCGAACTATGCAACTATGCAATTTAATTTAAAAATTATTTTTCTTAAGACTTTTTGACCACTACCCTCTCATTCCCAGTAAATCCTTGACTTTTGAAAACAGTTTTCATTACTTACTACTCTCTAAAAAATAAATTTGAAAATGTTTAATCACACATACCCCTGAAAAACACAAGCAAACAAAAACAACGTATTAACGGTATTAACCCATCACAGCCACCTCCCCGGAAGTAACCCCTTATATCAGCTTTGTCTGTTGCCTTCCAGTCACTTTTCTATCCATTTATACACATATGTGTTTCCCTCACAACAGAATTTTTTGAACTGTGGTTGAGTCCTGAAATCAACTTAATGGGTCATAACCAGCATTCTGAAAACTAGAATAGAATGAATTAGAACAGGACAGAAAATTTTTAGAGTGCTTTGCAAGGGTCCACTCAGTCAAGGTACAAAGTGTGCTTCTTATTGAGGGTCATTTCCAAGAGTTTTAAAGCTACTATCATATAAAATCTACAGTCTTTTTCTTTCTTTCCTTCCTTCTTCCTTTTTTCTTTCTTTTTCTCTCTCTCTCTTTTTCTTCTTCTTGACCTCTTTCTGCCTTCCTTCCTCTCTGCCTTTCTTTTTTAAAAAGTGGTGACACACCACACCATATAGACTGTTTTACAATTTGTTTTTACTCAGCCTATCATAGATCCTTTCTTTTTTTTTTTTTTTAGATCCTTTCTTTTTTGTGTGTGTCAACACACGCAGTGCCAGCTCATTTTTTATAACCATTGAATCGTACTGCATGTTCTGAATGCATCAGAGCTTTCTTAGCCACTTCCTCCTTGATAGGCACTTCGGTTTCAATCTCTCATGATTATAAGTGATGCTGTGGTGAATATACATGTGCATGCCTCACTGTGCATAAATACAAGAGTTCTTTTAGAACAGACAAGGAGAAGTGAAATAGCTGGGCCCAAGTTGTATTCACATTTCTTATTGTAATAAATACAAGGGTATTTCGAAAAGTTTACAGAAAGATTCATATTATCTTTCAATTCTATTTTTCCACGAGTTTTTTAAAGCCTCATACATTTTAAAGTGGCTGAATCACTTTACACTCTGACCAGAAGAGAAGGGAATTCATTTTTCTACACCTTGATCAACAGTATATATTATCAAACTTTTGCCAATCTAATATTTTTTTCTATTTTGTATGTATCTGAATGCTAGTGAGGTTATTGTACTTCTTTGGTGAATTTCTTGCTTGTATCCCATGCTTCTTTTCATTGATTTGTAAATGCTCTTTACATATTCTGAATACTAATTCTTTTATTGTATTTTTACATTAAAAGTATTTTCAGCTAATCTGTTACTTCTCTTCAATTTAAAGGGCATTTTCCACCCCCATGACCTAGGCAAAAGTTAGTTTTTAGTCTCAGGTACTACCAGAACAGTTTCTCAGGTAACTGCCACTAATATATCCTAGCAAGCTAGTATCTCATCACCAGTTCAGCATTACTGAGTGCTCTGGCAAGATTATTAAACTGTAGCATGAGCTAGGATTGGGGAGAGAAAGAACACTTGAGACTGAAAATAATGTACAGTCAGTCTAACTATAACATTTGCAAACTCTCTTGATTTCCCAACAACTTCAGCTAGTCCTGGATATGAGAACTGTTATGCCTCATACTCTACCTGATCAAATCCTCACAATTTTCTTATATTCTGCTACCCTAAAAATGTATATTTAGGGCCGGCCCGTGGCTCACTTGGGAGAGTGTGGTGCTGATAACACCAAGGCCACAGGTTCAGATCCCATATAGGGATGGCCGGTTAGCTCACCGGGTGAGCGTGGTGCTGACAACACCAAGTCAAGGGTTAAGATCCCCTTACCGGTCATCTTTAAAAAAAAAAAAAAAATGTATATTTATTTAGCCCTTAATAATTCTAGGAAAACACAAATGATAAAATCCAAATTTTTTTTTATTTTTATTCATTGCCTAAAGATTAATATTTACCAAGTTCATGGCAAATGTTAGCCATATCATTTTATCTAGTTTTAAAGCCATCTCTCTCAAATGGCCGGTTTGCTCACTGGGTGAGCGTGGTGCTGACAACACCAAGTCAAGGGTTAAGATCCCCTTACCGGTCATCTTTAAAAAAAAAAAAAAAATGTATATTTATTTAGCCCTTAATAATTCTAGGAAAACACAAATGATAAAATCCAAATTTTTTTTTATTTTTATTCATTGCCTAAAGATTAATATTTACCAAGTTCATGGCAAATGTTAGCCATATCATTTTATCTAGTTTTAAAGCCATCTCTCTCAATAAATCTTTCAGATTAGCTCACTGAATATACCACACTTCATAACTACTCATAAAAAACTGCAGCATATATTTATATTGACAATTTTGTTCTCAGAATATTTTTCTTAAAACAATTTTTCCTTAAAAAGACATCAGTAAGGCTGATCGTGTGCAATGTCAGTCATACATAATATGCATGATTCATATCTATGTGGTGTTTCCTACTGCAAAATACGTACTATATTTGGTGTTCTTAAAGTTTAAATAAATCAAAGTTTAAAATATTAGAATACTTTGTATTCAAATTTTTTTATTAAAATAGTAGATTTAATTAGTGTTTTAACCCTTACAAGGAAACTATGAAACTCCTTAAAAGAGACAACTTATTTAAAAGTGTCAAAAATCAAAAATAATTATATTGGCTAGCTTACACTAATCACCTAATGACTCTAAACAGCTTTTTTTTTTTTTTCCTCTGGAGTGTGAGGTAGGAGGACCGGGGAGGAAGAGCAGTGTTTTCTTAGCCTGCACTTGGGCAAGACTGGGAAGCATTTTACACATTTAGTCTCATCTAATCCACAGAATCATTTTGAAGTGTAGCTGTTTTTATCTCCATTTTACAGATGAGGAGACTAAGTGCTATGGTCTAAATGCTTCTATTCCACTGAAATTCATATGTTGAAATCCTAACCCCCACGGTGATGGCGGTTAGGCAGTGACTTTGGGAGGTAATTAGGTCATGAACGGGATTAGTGCCCTTATAAAAAAAGGCCCAAGGGAGCTTGGTCACTCCTTCCACCATGTGAGGACTCAGCCAGAAGGAGCCATCTATGAACCAGGAAGCAGGTCCTCACAGACCTCAGACTTGCCAATGCTTTCATATTGGACTTCTAGTCTCCAGAACTGTGAAAAATAAATTTCTGCTGTTTATAAGCCACACAATTTTTGGTATTTTGTTATAACAGCTTGAACTAAGACACTGAGCCTTAGCGAGATTAAAAAAAAAAAATCGTCCAGCCAAGATCACAGAGCAAGTGAGTACTGTAACATGAAACCAGGTGGGCCCTAAAACACTACTACACCGACTTAGACTAGATGGGAATTAAGAGGCTTCCAGTTCTCCTTCTAAACTATTACTCCACTCAGAGGCTGGGTGATCATGGGCAATCCCTCTAGTCACTGCAAATGTAAAATAATATCTACACTCCTTCCCAGTGTGTAATACTATTTCTCTTCATAAAAGGGTTGTTACTTTTAACATGGTGCTACACTTATACCTTTGAACATTTAATTGACTAAATATTTTTGGAAAGCATATACATACAATAAACTGGAAGCATTAGGTCTTTGTAGCCTGCACAGTACACTATATTCTACTTTACTATCTCATACCACTTTAAAATAGCCTAGTTAGTTGCCTATCACTGCTGCTTTGCAGCTATTGAAACTACAATGCAAAACAGACAACATGAAGCTGCTAATTACTAGAAATGGAACAAAAAGTGGATTACACTGTATTCCCCAGTTGACCAAGATATAGTATCAACCTATTATTTTTCTGAATTCTCTCTGCTAAGAATCAAGAATTTGGGGACAACTGGAGAAAACAAATATTAGGGAAGGGGAGCTCCCTGAAGAAGGAAAAAATATTTTTCCTTAATGAATGAGGCCAAAACACATATGAGCTTCTCTATATTGGACCAATTGTCCTGTTGGAAGACAACACAGGTACACTCTCACCTCTTTCCTTTACTTTTATAACAATGAAATAAAAAATTGCAGTTCAAATGTACAAATGTTCAGCAATCAACCCCTGCATCCTTGGTCAGACAAATGAACTTGCTTGTATTCACTAAGGTTTCATGGGAGGTTCTCACTCAGAGAACCACAGGATGGGAGACAGACAGTGGAAACACATGTTACATTTGAGAAGACCATGAAGAATTAGTAGACCTTCAATAGGCATAGAACATGGATTTGGCATAGGGAAAGTGTATTTGAGTGGTGGCTTCCAAGTAGAAGGAACTGTGCCAGCAAAGGATGGAGTGGGCTAAGTGAGGGCCGCATCTGGAGAACAGCCAAGTGTGCAGCACAGCTGGTGTGCAGTACGATAAGAAGGTACAGTGTGTGTGCGGCTGAAGAGGTAGGTGGGCATCATGCACGAGGGTGAGGAGCCTGAGACTGACTCTATTTCAGGAAAGGTGACCTCATGAGAAGAGGCCTAGAGCCTCAGCCAGAGGGCCTCAGCCAGAGGGCCCGGCTTGAATATTCCCTCTCTGCTAGGTACCAGCAATATGGTTTCAGGCAAGTCACAACTTCTCTGGGCTTGGTTTCTTCTCTATTATGGGAGCATGGTGAAAATGGGAATAAAACAAAGAGGGATGAGGTCATATGCACTGTGGGGAATCTGAGGGGTCCAAGGAGGCCTCGGAAGCTTGGGCCTGAGTGCTGGCGAGAATGACGCTCCATCAAAGGACAGGCAAATGACAGAGAAGATGATGACTGCGGGGCTTGGTCATGGGCTACATCCCAACATAGACCAACAGACAGATCCACAGTAGTCAGGATGAAATTGTCAGGAAGGGACTTGACAGTCTGGGCCCAGCATCCCCGCTGCCCCCACCCCAGTGGAATTTCCCACAGGAAGGTAGAATCTGCCTCAGG